ATCAAGGGAAATCTCTATCACATATCAAAGATACGACACGTTTATGATTTTTCTTTGTGTTTTCCACATGAATTATTAATGAGTTTTTGGAGCTATTTTAGACAACAGTCAGTCACATCGTCAGTCACAACGTGCACAGAGCTGTTTAACGTATTCTGCCGTATAGCAAATATAGCAGTTGAGCATGTTTTGAAACCTTATTCTTAAAATCATCATCCAACCTCATAGCCGCAATCCCAAGTGATATAGCCTCAACTACCTGATCTTGAATTATACTTTAAAGTGAACAAATACCAAGACAACTATATTAAAGAAATATTCAGGATATATTTAAAATGTATAATTGAAAGATCAAACTTTTTCGTATTCCTTAGGAAGAATCGCGATAACCGCCGCTAACGTAGCAAATTAATAATATACTTTCTCTGTTCTGGTTCAACTGAATTTCGAAGCCTAAATACTTGAATTATAAGAAAGTTTTCTCGAAAGCATTAACAGGCGGCATATTTTCGATACGCGACTATAAACGCGTCAACGCGAGCAAAATTATTGTTGATATTTGAATTACGTAACTACTTCCGTTAACGAGATTAACCAATGGGAAGCTTTTCCAAAGATTCTTCGGAGAAGAACAAATTAATCATAGGCATTTGGGCAGGCGTTTATTTAACGACGCCATTTCTTCTCCCGCCCGCACTAAACGCCTGCTACGCAGGCTACGGTCGGAATAGAACCTACGACCTTTGGAATACTAGCCCAATGCTCCGCCAACTGAGCTACGCGGTCAGGTTGGTTCGAGTATGTGATATTTCGGAACAGAATCTAGTTCCTTCGATATCAATGTAATCTAGTAATCATGATTTTTTCTGTGTTTGTGTAATGTACTCAAGTGAATATGCATGACGCTTGTGATGTTACTCTGAGTGTATATCCACACCGGGCAAGCTTGAAAAATATGCCTGTCCACGGTGGGAATCGCATCTACAACCTTTGGAATACTAGCCCAATATTCCGACCTGACCGCGTAGCTCAACCAACCTGACTGTGTAGCTCAACCGCCCTGACCGCGTAGCTCGGTTGGCAGAGCATTGGGCTAGTATTCTAAAGGTCTTAGGTTCGATTCCGACCGTGGACAGGCATATTTTTCAAGCTTGCTTGGTGTGGATATACTCTCAGAGTAACATCACAAGCATTCATATTCATCTGAGTACATTACACCAACGCAGAAAAAATCAATTTATCATTACTTGAAATCTGCTGTGTTGGTGTAATGTACTCAGGTGAATAAGATGTTTGTGTGATGTTACTCTGAGTGTATATCCACACCGGGCAGGCTTGAAAAATATGCCTGGCCACGGTGGGATTCGAACCTACGACCTTTGGAATACTAGCCCAATGCTCTTCCAACTGAGCTACGCGGTCAGGACGGTTCGAGTATGCGATATGTCGGAACTGAGTCTAGTTCCTTCGATATCAGTGTAATCTAATAATCATGAAATCTGCTGTGTTGGTGTAATGTACTCAGGTGAATAAGATGTTTGTGTGATGTTACTAGTGTGATGGGCTAGTATTCCAAAGGTCGTAGGTTCGAATCCCGCCGTGGCCAAACATATTTTTCAAGCCTGCCCGGTGTGGATATACACTCAGAGTAACATCACACAAACATCTTATCATTACTTATTAGAGGGGGTTAGCAATTAATGGCCGAAGGCCACGTGTGTGGAGGCATACTCTCGCAGAAAATTTTTGAAATTTGAAGCCCGGGAATGTCATTTCCTGCATTCTGAGAATCCAAATTTGCTCTAAAATTTACGCTAACTATACTTGTAAATTGTAATTGAATTAAAAGAAGGAAAAAACGCACAAAAAAAACAAAAGATAAAGGCAAAGCCTAAAACTTACTTTCCGTTTATCTATTTGTCATTGTTCACGGGTTTGTTTATATAAATTTAGTAAAAAGGGACTTTTTCTGGGGGTGGATGTGATTTCGTGGGGGGGGGGGGACAAGGGACTGAGGTGGTCTTGTATGTTAAAAAAGGCCTTGTTATTACGTTGATTCACATATAATTATCCTGGTTTATGTCTATATTTGCAAACATTTTTCTTTAAAGGATACCTTCAAATATGATTCTCCTTACTGGAGCAACAAAACTGCCTACGAAGTCGAAAACGGGATTGAAGGTTTGACAGAAAAACAAACAAAGCTAGCTTCTTACTGGAACACGCCGTTTAAAAAAATATGCCTCGGAAGGAATGTCGGGCGAGGTGCAGAAAATGGTATAAAATGGATTGTTATTGAACACCAAGCAAGCTCGCTATTCAACGTAATCGCAAACGGAACGTTTACAGCAACAAACGTGACAAAGTCAAATTGGAAATCACTTATCGAAGGTTCATCTCTACAAGAAAATTGCAATAAACAAGGGTTTAATATCCATGGTGGGCGAAATGATAGCAAGATGTATGTACGGATTGGATTAGTTGCTAATGATGAAAACGACTGCGAGACATGCAACTCATGCATTGGCTTTGGTATTTCAATAACTGGATGTGATGGTATAGTGCGAAGGAGGCCATTTGGTAATATATACGTTTGTGATTACTCGGTAAGGATCGATGCTGCATTCGGGTATATACTTGTACAGTAGCATCGAAACAATATAGACCTTTCTGGTAATTACGTCACAACTACACTCTTTTCAACTTAGAATTACCTTAAATGGAATAGATTTTTCAAGTTTATTTCTCACCGGATATGCTCAGAAATGCAGAACATCCTTTGCCAACACATGCATAAAAAATAATTTTGGATTTTGACTATTAAGTATAGGTAATCACTCGGGAAGGAGTGGAATTAATGATTAACACTACAAGTGATGTTTGAGAAATGTGCCAAAATTGCACTAGCGCCAAGGTGAGTGCAGTTTGGCGCATTTTTCAAAAATCACAAGTAGTGTTAATCATTAATCGTACGACTTGCCATGTGATTATTTATTTATTATATGAATGATAAAATCGCTTTCTTTAAAATTCAACTGCATTTCTAAAATTTTTTAAATATTTTGTAAGAAATTTGGAAATGATCATAAATTCATAATGGCACATGACGTGAACTGGAACACATGTTTGAAATTCAAACAACATATTTTAGAGTAAGAAAATCTTTATAAATTGTATACAGACTTTTAGACTTAAAAATGGTATACAGACAAAAAAAATTGTATACAGACTTTTATTGTTACAGACTTTTAGACTTTCATAGTCATGCTTCGCTGCATCCCACCGAGATTATTTCTTAAAACTGTTTCTAGGTATTTTCCATGCTATGTTTTTAAACTTATTCTTGTGCCAAAATTTAGTTGAATTCGTCCACGTTAATTTGTTATTTACACAAGATAAATTTCGCCGCTATATTGGATTTTTGTTATTTTGATTTCCCGTTCCACCCACAGTGCAATTAATGATGGTAATAGAACGAATAGGAGTGCTATTAATGCCATAATCATACGAGTGATTACAAAATCAATCACTCACAGTCAATCAATCACAGAGTTAATCACTCAATAAATCAATCACAGAGTTAATCACTATTACTTATTAATTATTTATCTTCTGTAATCAAACTGTTTAAGGGGGGAAAGCACAAAAATACAATTTGTTGAAATTCAATATAATTATTAAATTTTTATCACGACAATTCTTAGTGAAATAGTACAATTTTAAATTATTATTTATCATATATAATCAAATTAACATATTATTTAAATTCCGGGCATTATTTCCGGTATAATCACATGACAACATTTGTTAGAATTATTCAACACACAATTGGGAAGCCATGTTTGTATGTTTATAACGTGTTCAAAATAGCGAAGTTCTTTAGTTCAGTTAAATCAGTTAATCATCTGAATTTGATTGAAAAGTAACTCCTGGTTGTGTCTAGTTCGGTGTCTTCTGCTGGAAGAACAGGTAGGTCATTTTCGTCAGAAAATATATAAATTAACAACTCTCGAAAACGAGATCGGTATTCGGCAAATATGCCGACCTTTGGCGACCTATTAAAATGCCGACCTATCAACCTCCCAGGTTTGCCGACCTTAATTCAGCCAAAGTAAGAAACTTTTTTGTCAGCGATTATAAAATTCGATACACTTTGGTGTAAGGTTTAAGAATTAACGGGTATTATGATATAATTCAGGTAAGACTCTAAAAGAAAAGCCTTTGTGACATTTATACTTTTCAATGATTCGTAAATACGTGATTACTAGTGCAGGCTACTAGTGCTCGAAAACATGGAAACAGATTTTAAAAAATGCCGAGATGTGCCGAGCTAGGTCAGATGTAGGTCGGCATTTTTTCCGACCTCAATTTTGGCGGTTTTCGAGGGCCGATTTAAAAATTAAAAGGTCAAAATTTTCAAAATTTGTGAATTCCTCCATTTTGAATTTTTTACAGCAATAAAGAAAATAAAACTCAAAGTTTGTATCCTGAATGCTGATTGGCTAGTTGTAAATACTAGACTGATTTTCATTGGCTGTAGACAAGAGTGCGATTACAGCTCAGAAAAGGGGCGATTAATGCTCAAATCGCACTCCTGTAAACCAATGAAATTGCAGTATTTGATTACAGAAGATAAATAATTAATGAAATAATTGCACTCCTCTTAACTAATCAGATTGCAGTAATTTTGTCATGTATATAATAAATGTGGAAATAAGCGTGCATTTAAGCTTATTTTCACATTTATTGGTCAAAATCCAAAATTCTTTTTTATGCATGTATTGAAGAAGGATGTTCTGCTTCTCTGACCATAGCCCATGAGAAACAAACTTAAAATCCATTCCATGTAAGGTGGCCCTAAGTTGAAAGCAGTGTTCGTCGTGACGTAATTATCGGAAGGTCTATCGGAACTGACACATAGGCTAAACTAACTATATCAAAAGTTATAATTATATGTAATAGCATATTTGCCCGGGTTTCTTTTGTTTCAACAGGGACGATTACTAACTAATCGCCCACTGTAGCGGGCGTTTAGTTCCAAATCGCCCTTTGGCAAGGGTCACTCCCTTTATCTCCCTGCCGACTACGCATTAGGCAAGCGCCTCACGCACATAATCGTGCAAGGAAAAACAACAGTTAGCTCAGAGCCGTCAATAGTCTATCATCCGATGCATGAGTTGTTGCATCATTTAAATTACGCACGTGCAGTCTCCGATTTTATACTAATATATTTAGCGTTTTTTTCTTGTGGTACGTTAAATGATAGATGGAGCATGCGTAACTGATTAAAGCGTAAAAAGTGCGCATGTGCAACAAGCTTTAACATCCCACAAGCAAAGAAGCAAATGTTTTAGCTTAAATTCGCTGATTGCAAGTAGGGCATGTTTGTCCATTTTTAAATGGGAGCGCAACTATGCTATTACAAACTATAATAGCATGGCTTTTCGGGAGATTAGTGATTAAATGACCCTTTACCCTCGGCAGGTTTGCGGAATTCCCTCGGACTTCGCCCTCGGGAATTTCGCAAACCTGCCTCGGGTTACGGGGCCATTTAATCTCTAATCTCCCTCAAGCCATGCTATTACTTATAAGTAATCCTTTTCTGGTCATTGCATGTAGTAGCTGCAGGTATGTTGTCAAAAAATAATCTGAATCCAAGAGATATTGAAAAAATAGGTCATTTCTGGCATTAGTTTTTTGATTGATGATCAAATATTTGATTAATTTGTTCTGCACTGATAATTATAAAATATAAATAGTTGGTATTGACCCAGGGGCGGCGAACAAACCCATCGAAGAAGAAAGCCATCAAAGTAAAACAGTAGTAAAATGAAGTTGCTTGGTCGTTGCCAAAAAGGCAAAGTCAACAACATAACTAATATTGTGGTCAATGAAATATTTCCTGAATTTAAATGGTGAATGCTTCGACAATGGTGAATGGATGCTTCGGCACCCGTAACACCGTAGAGCTAAGCAGCTCTAAAAAATACATTAGGTTCTATAATACCTTGTTTAAATAAGCCTGATCTTTCTTCATGAAAAGGTAGTTCAACTGTGCTAATTTGCTGGTGATATTAGCTCCCACCAAGTTATTCAAACTGACCCCGATTATCCGATTTTTCTGGGGAA